GGACTTGCTGTGAGAAGCGCACAGAGGGGCAGAGGATGCTGAATGCTCCGAGGTCAGACCCAGGAAGGTGGAAGCCGGGTGAGCTTTGTGTCCTGCAGACAGGCTGCTCCCAGAGAGCAGATGTCACCAGAGTCCTGCCTGGCTTCATGGGGAGCAGTTCCAGAGCATGGCCCGGATGAGACTCTGTGACAACTCACATATGCCCTCTAGGGCTCTGCAGTGATTATACACCCTTACCCCACCACCTAGATACTTAAGAACCTCATAGGGGAAACTGAGGCACCCCCACAATATTCGGAGGAAACATTAAGAACAGTCCCACTTTGTCACAGGCTAATCCCTGCAGTGGAGCTAGAATGACATCCCAGCTTAGTTTAAAAATGGCCAGTGCTGGAGAATTGGCCCAGGGTTCATCACTCTCACAGGTAGGAATGTGCACCTCGGTTCCAGTCCGAATGTGTCTAGCTTCAGCTTCCAGCCAAGAGCATTGGTAAGAGCCAGGCCATGCCTGTGGGCCGGGGACGCTTGCAGCAGGCCGTGCCAGAGAGCTGGCCCTGGCCGAGGGCGCTGGTCCATGCTCGCCAGCTAGGCAGAGTCCTCCCATGCTAGTGTCGGGGGAGACACATGGGAAAAAGAATCCAGGACGATGCTGCCAGCAGGGTGGGGGCTTGTAACTGGTGCACTCCCCTCGGGGAGTCAGGGCTGGCTGCAGGGCCCCAGTGTGGGGCTGGGGGATGCTGAGCCCTGGGGTGGTCCTAAGGGCCCAGCAGTGGGTCCAAGTGTAGACAAAGCACGGCTGGGAGTGACTTGGGGCCTGTGTGCTCACGCTGGGCACAAGCCTGGGGAAATGCAGGTGGGCACAGCTGAGAGCCCTCATAAACTCAGCCAGATTCTGCCAAGCTGGGGCTCCCCTCCACTTTGGAGTATGGCCCGATCCTCCCTCAGGCCCCATTGCTCTCCTGGGCACGGTGCAGGAGGCCAGCCCTGGCAGGTTGTTCCAGGGGAAGGGATCTCCACTTCTCACCTGGGACAGGGTTTGGGGAACACAGTGATGCTCTGAGGCAGTTCTTGTGCCCAGCAGCCACCCACAGTCCCCAGCTGAGCTGCCAGGGATCAGGCCGAGTGCCTGGCCGCGGGGCCAGTGCCAGGCCTGAGGCCCCCTGCATTTCCTGCACAGACCTCACCCCTGACTTTTGGTAGGCTCCTTTTCTGTCTTCTGAACTCCCTGCCCAGTCGCCCCGCACGCTCGCTCCCAGGCCTTTGGGCCTTCTCTCCTGGCTCCAGCAGAAAAGCTCCTGCAGGCTTCTAAAGACTTGCTCTTAACCTAGATTTCTCTCTTGCACAGTTCTCTGCTTAAATTTGCTTGGGCAAGCCGCTCGCAGCCTCCAGCCCTCAACCCTCTATAGGTGCTGGGCCTGCAAGTGCCAGGCGGTGGAAGCTAGCTCGGGCCTGCTGTCCTCAAACTCTCTGGGAGAATTGGGGTCCCATCCTCGGCTCCAAAGCTCCTGCTGCCACTGACTTTACAGGTGCTACGGCTGCTGCACGTGCACCCAGCTTCAGTGCTGCTCCGGGGCCTTCCCCTTGCTCTCGCTCTGTCCTCCAGAATCCCCTTGCCTCCATGGCCCCCCAGGCCCCCTCTGCAGTGAGCCCCTCTGCCCCAGCCAGCTCACTCGCTGACCAGGCTGAGCTGAGGAACTAGGCAGAGGTCAGCCCCATGCTAATGATGCAGCCCAGTCCTTGGAGCAGAAACACAGTGTTCCCTGGGAGCAGGCCAGCCTGCAACGCCCTGGCCTTGGGCTGTGGGTCAGTGGCTCCCAGTCCTGGCACGAAAAACTTACTGCAGGGGCCTGAGCAGGGGGGCTCTCCCCAGCAGTCAGAGCTGGTCACCCTGGGTGGTGCTGGGGGGCTCAGTAGGGGGGCTCTTCCCTGGCAGTCCACGGTTGAGGCAACCAGTGGGGGGCATTGGCACGGGGGGGGGGTGAGAGCCAGGCCCCATTGGCACTGTGGGGGGAGGGGCCGTTGCTGTGGGGGGAGCTGGGCATGAGGGGACCAGTGGGGGGCATTGATGCAATGGGCGGAGCTGGGTGCATGATCATGTTTTGAGCAGTGCACAATTTCTGGGTGGGGCATTTCAAGCGGGTGAGGCTGGGAAATGTGCCCCCCTTTGGTTTTCTGTGGGTCTGAGCGCGGCAGGGAAGGGTGCTGAGGGACAAGCTCCCCCAGGGGGCCTGGAACAACGCGTACTGTGGGGTGCTGAGGGCCATCAAACCAACCTGTAACAGAACCCCCGTCAAGCCAGGGGGTGCGGCAGCCCCCTGCCCCCCTTGACTCCCCCCGAGGGATGGGGAAGGGGTGGAGAAGGAAGGGCCCTCCATGGCAGCCGTTCCCGCTGGGTCCCTGCTGCGTGGGGAAGACCCTGTGTGCAGCCAGGGCCCCACGGCTGGAGGATCGTGCCAAGTAGGGCTCAGGGATCCAGGCTGTATGGCCCCCGGCCAGCCCCAGGGCGAGCGCGCCAGAGCATGGCCTGTTCTCTTCCAAGAACCCTATCAGCCCCCCACCCGCCGCCCCCCGCTGCCCCACCAGGGCCGGGACCTCACCCGCCGCCCCCCTGCCCCAGGCTGCCCTGCCACTGCCCCGGCTCCTTCCTACCCCCCCAGAACTGCCCTGTGTCACCTGCCAACCCCAAACCTCCCCCCTTTACACTAGCCTCTGCCCCACATTCATCCCCCAGGCCTTGGCCCACCCCAGTTCAGCCCTCCAGTGCCACAGGATATACAGCCCTGGGCCCTCTGCTCCCCCCCTCGCACCCTGCCCTACACTGCCCTCTGCACCCTGCCCTACACTGCCCTCTGCTCCCCCCCGCACCCTGCCCTACACTGCCCTCTGCTCCCCCCCTGCCCTCTGCTCCCCCCCTGCACCCTGCCCTCTGCTCCCCCCTGCACCCTGCCCTACACTGCCCTCTGCTCCCCCCCGCACCCTGCCCTACACTGCCCTCTGCTCCCCCCCCGCACCCTGCCCTACACTGCCCTCTGCTCCCCCCCTCCCCACCCTGCCCTACACTGCCCTCTGCACCCTGCCCTACACTGCCCTCTGCTTCCCCCCCGCACCCTGCCCTCTGCTCCCCCCTGCACCCTGCCCTACACTGCCCTCTGCTCCCCCCCTCCCCACCCTGCCCACACTGCCCTCTGCTCCCCCCCGCACCCTGCCCTCTGCTCCCCCCCTCCCCTACACTGCCCTCTGCTGCCCCCCCCGCACACTGCCCTACACTGCCCTCTGCTCCCCCCCGCACACTGCCCTACACTGCCCTCTGCTCCCCCCCGCACACTGCCCTACACTGCCCTCTGCTCCCCCCCCCATTGCCCTACACTGCCCTCTGCTCCCCCCCGCACCCTGCCCTACACTGCCCTCTGCTTCCCCCCTCGCACCCTGCCCTACACTGCCCTCTGCTCCCCCCCGCACCCTGCCCTCTGCTCCCCCCTGCACCCTGCCCTACACTGCCTTCTGCTCCCCCCGCACCCTGCCCTACACGCCCTCTGCTCCCCCCCTGCTCCCCCCCTCCCCTACACTGCCCTCTGCTCCCCCCTGCACCCTGCCCTACACTGCCCTCTGCTCCCCCCTCCCCACCCTGCCCTACACTGCCCTCTGCTCCCCACCCTGCCCTACACTGTCCTCTGCTTCCCCCCCCGCCCGCCCGCTCCTGCCCTACAGACCGAGGGGCGGATAAGCGGGGGTGGGACAAGGCCTGGGAAGGGGCCAGGCGGCAATGGGGAAGTCCTTCACTTCCCACAGGAAAAGCAGGAGAAAGCCAGGCTGCCCTCGTCCCTCAGTGGAGCAGGCCCAGGGCGCCAGCTGTTCGAGTAATGTCCCCCCCAGGGCCAAGGGCTCAGTGCCTCCGGCTCCCCCCCCCCAGGGCCAAGGGCTCAGTGCCACTGGCACCCGTCTCCTCCCCCCCGCCCGGCACCTTGGGCTCCGTGCCACCGGCACCTGGCTCCCCCTGCCCAGGGCCAAGGGCTCCGTGGAACTGGCCCCCTGGCTCTCCCCCTGCCCCAGCGCCATGGGCTCTGTACCACCAGCACCCGGCTCCTAAGGTGGTCACTCAGGTTCCTGGGCTGATGCTTCCAGGAATAGCATTAGCCTGTGATGAAGCAGGACTGTTCTTAATGTTTCATTTGTGCTGGAAATGGCCCACCTGTTGATCACTTTAGATAAGCTATTACCAGCAGGACAGTGGGGTGGGAGGAGGTATTGTTTCATATTCTCTGTGTGTATATAAAGTCTGCTGCAGTTTCCACGGTATGCATCTGATGAAGTGAGCTGTAGCTCACGAAAGCTCATGCTCAAATAAATTGGTTAGTCTCTAAGGTGCCACAAGTACTCCTTTTCTTTTTGCGAATGTTTCCTCTGAATAGTGTGGGGGTGCCTCAGTTTCCCCTAGGCAGTTCTTAAGTCTCTAGGGGGTGGGGTAAGGGTGTATGGTCGTTGCAGAGCCCTAGAGGGCAGGTGTGTGCAGGGGTCTGGACACAGAGAATGGCCGACACCCTGTTTCCTGGCAACTGATGGCCTGGGCCCTTCCCCCCCCCCCCCCCTGCAAGGTGAGAGCTGAAGGGTTGGAGAACAAAGGAATCAGGTGACCTCCTGGCCCGGGAAAGGGACAAAGCCCAGAGGAGGAGGGGCTGGAGGGAGTTTCAGTTTGGGGCTGGCTGGGACATGGAGTGAAGGGCAGACGTGGTTGTCTGGCTCACTGCCCCCCAAAATGGACCCAGCTGAGGGGTCCCGTTCTCTGCACCTACAAGCTCTGTTTTAGACCATGTTCCTGTCATCTAATAAACCTCTGTTTTACTGGCTGGCTGAGAGTCACGTCTGACTGCGGAGTTGGGGGGCAGGACCCTCTGGCTTCCCCAGGACCCCGCCTGGGCGGACTCGCTGTGGGAAGTGCATGGAGGGGCAGAGGAGGCTGAATGCTCCGAGGCCAGACCCAGGAAGGTGGAAGCCGGGTGAGCTGTGTGTCCTGCAGACAGGCTGCTCCCAGAAAGGCGACTGCCCCAGAGTCCTGCCTGGCTTCATGGGGAGCAGTTCCAGAGCATCGCCCAGGGACTCCGTGACAGAGCCCATCCCCAGGGTGGTGTGTGCGAGGTGGCCACACAGGTGCCACCTTTAAGAGTTGGGGTGGGGGGAGTGGTGTCCCCATCCAAGCCTGGCCAAAGCTATGGCCAGTTTTGCCCCAGTCTTGGGTGTGAGCCAGAGCGCCCATGAGGGGGACCGGCTGTTTTATGCCAGGCAAGCGGCCTCCCTATCTGTGGTGGAACAGGACACTGACCCCAGCTTGTGTCAGGCCAGCGCTGTGCCCAATGGGCCAGTCTGGCCTTGCCGAACCCAGAGCAGCCCTGCAGCCAACTCTCCCCAGGCCCCGCCCCTTGCTGTGACATCCAGAAGTGCCCAGCTCCCTGCCAGGGTCCCCTCCGGGCCAGACACCAGCTGCTGGGAAAGTCACTGACCTTGGTAAGGTCAGGCTGTACAGAGAGCAGGTGCCGTGGCCAGGCGGGCTGGGATAAAAGCGGCGAGGAGGAGGGAGCCCTCGCAGCCAGCGCCTTGCACCTGGAGCAGGAGCCATAGGCGGAGCAGGAGCCGCCAAGACCATGTGGTGAGTGCGTGCGCCCTGGGCCCAGCCGACTGGCCTGGCTCAGGCAGGGTTGAGCAGGGGGCGTCTCCGATACGTTGCCTGCCAGGCCTGTGCCCAGCACCCCTGAGCCCTGCTCCTGTTCACAGGGAGGGCACGGAGGGGAATGGCAGCAGCAGGGCTGCAGCCCACCTGGCCCCAGTGCCGTGCCAGAGGACCTGGCTTCTGCTGAGACCCTGCCTCCCTGGCTGCTCCTACATGACACTGCTGGGAGGAAGCTCATCACCGCTCCAGGCTGGCCCAGCAGTGCTCAGAGCCCTCAGTGCTGTGAGCGTGGGGCTGAGGGCCCAGCTCCTTAGACAGAGATTCCAATGTCCTGTGTCCTACCAGAAGGGCAAGGGGTCGGCTCGCTGCTCATGGCGGCTTCTTTCCCTGCAGGATGCCCATGCTGCTGGTCGCCAGCCTGCTCTGGGGGGCCCTCGCCTCCACCCACACCAGCCTCAACGAAGTCCAGCTCGGCAACGGTAGGGGGCAGGGTGCCATCGGGCAGGGAGGGGATGCCCGGCAGGGGGCTGGGGGCAGGGTGGGATTGGGCAGGGAGGGGGTGCCCGGCTGGGGGCAGGGTGGGATTGGGCAGGGAGGGGGTGCCCGGCAGGGGGCTGGGGGAAGGGTGCCTGGGAGGGGATGCCCGGCAGGGGGCTGGGGGCAGGGTGCCTTCGGGCAGGGAGGGGGTGCCCGGCAAGGGGCTGGGGGCAGGGTGCCTTCGGGCACGGAGGGGGTGCCTGGCAAGGGGCTGGGGGCAGGGTGCCTTCGGGCAGAGAGGGGGTGCCCGGCAAGGGGCTGGGCGCAGGGTGCCTTCGGGCAGGGAGGGGGTGCCCGGCAAGGGGCTGGGCGCAGGGTGCCTTCGGGCAGGGAGGGGGTGCCCGGCAAGGGGCTGGGCGCAGGGTGCCTTCGGGCAGGGAGGGGGTGCCCGGCAGGGGGCTGGGCGCAGGGTGCCTTCGGGCAGGGAGGGGGTGCCCGGCAAGGGGCTGGGCGCAGGGTGCCTTCGGGCAGGGAGGGGGTGCCCGGCAGGGGACAAGGGTGGGACTGTCTCTCACCAGCAGGGGGCACTTCACTAAGGGTTCTCTCTGTGCCCCAGACCAGAGCTGCCCGGCGCCCAGGGGGATCGAGCACGGGAAGGTGGAGCACCTGGCCCGCTACCAGTGTGACCCCTACTACCAGCTGCGCAGCCGCGGTGACGGTGAGATATGCCCACAATCGGCAGAAGTGCACCCCCGGGGGATACGCACAGGGCCCGCCCCTGCTCCCAAGGGGATACACATGGGACCTTCCCCCATCCCTAGGGGGATACACATGTGGGCTCTGCTCCCACAACCCTGGAGGAATACACCTTGGGCCCTGTCCCCCCGCCTCTGTGGGGGATACATACCAGGCTCTGCCCCCTCTGAGGGGATATGCACGGGGCCCTGCCCTCCTTCCGTGTGGGATACACATGGCCCCCCAAGGGGATACGCATGGGGCCTGCCCCCACCCCTGGGGCACATGCCTGGGGCCCTGCCCCCCGCTGGCAAGTGCACAGAGCCCTGTGTGCCCTGCCTGGGGACGGCTGACACTGACTCTGGTTTTCTGGCCCCAAGGCCTATACCGATGTAGCCAGCAGCACATGTGGTTGAATGAAGCAGCCGGAGAGGAGCTGCCCATTTGTGAGCCAGGTGAGTGGGAAGTGGGGGCGGAGTGGAGCACAGGGTTCTCTTTGCAAGGCAGGGGCGGGGCCCTGCTCTCCCATTGCTCCCCATGCCCTTGCAATGACGCTGGGGCTGCGTTCCCTGAAGCAGAGCTTCTGCAGACTGAGGCAGCGGCCATGGCCCCTCTGGCAGCCGCCCCTCTGGGTGCTGTTCCCTCTGCCAGTGACACACCTCGCCCTGGATGGTGGCACCAGGCCCCGGCCGGCCCAGGGCCTGGGAAGGAGATTGCTTGTTGGCTTGTGGGTGGAAGGGAGCAGAGCTCCCATCTCCCAGGCGAGGTGCGGGGCCTGTGCTCTGCAGGGCGAGGGGCAGGCTCACACTGGGTCTCTGCCCTCTGCAGTGTGTGGGAAGCCCAAGAACCCGGCCAGACAGGTGCAGCGCATCATTGGGGGCATGATGGCAGCCAAGAACAGCTTCCCCTGGCAGGGCCGGCTGCTGAGCCACCACAACCACACGGCGGGGGCCACGCTCATCAGCGACCAGTGGCTGCTGACGACAGGCAGGAACCTCTACCTGGGCCACAGTGAGAACAGCACGCTGGATGAAATCGCCCCCACCCTGCGGCTCTTTCTTGGCAAGGAGACGCCCGCCGGGGCTGTCGAGCTCATTGTCCTGCACCCTGAGTTCCCGGGGGCTGTGGACCTGGCCCTGCTCAAGCTCAAGCACAAGGTGCCCATTGGAGAGGCCGTGATGCCCATTTGCCTGGCCCAGAAGGACTATGCAAAGGTGGGGAGGGTGGGCTTTGTCTCTGGCTGGGGCTGGAACACCCTCCTGGAGCACCCAAAGCACCTCAAGTACGTCATGCTGCCTGTGGCCGACAGCGTCAGCTGCCAGGCGTACTACCAGGCACACGCCTGGAAGCCACTGCTGAACAGCCACACCTTCTGCGTCGGCATGAGCGAGCTGCACGAGTCCACCTGCCTCGGGGACGCCGGCAGCGCCTTTGCCATCCACGACCCTGAGGACGACACCTGGTACGCGGCCGGGATCCTCAGCTTTGACCGCAGCTGCTCAGCTGCCAAGTACGGCGTCTATGTGCAGATGCTCAGTGTCTTGGACTGGATCAAGGAGACCATGGCTGCACACTGAACCCAGGCTGGGCCCCAGCCCCTGGACACAGCCCTGAGCAATAAAACCCTTTCCTCACACCGGGCCCATGTCTCCTCTCTTCAGCAGTTTCCAAAGGGGCTCCCTGGGCACCCGGGCATTCAGCACCAGCCCCTCCCAGCCTGCGGCAGGACACAGGGCTTGAAGCACCTGCCCTTGCTCCGCTCCCTGCCCTCCCTTCCCCCTGGCGCAAACCCCCGGCGCCTGTGGGTGCTGCCAGGGGGAGGGTCAGGCTGTGCCCTTCTAGGCAGTCCATCTGTCCCTACCCCCAGCACTCCAAGGCCTGGACCCCTGACACTGACCCAAACTCCTTCCTGAGCCTTACAGTTAAACACGAAGCAAGGGGGTCAGTATCCGGGGGCACAGCACGGGGGGTCAGTATCTGGGGAGGCACAGCACAGGGGGGCGGTACCCTGGGGCGGGGGGCACAGCACTGAGGGTCGGTATCGGGGGGGGCACAGCACAGGGGGTCAGTAACCAGGAGGGCACAGCACCAGGGGCGGTACCCTGGGGTGGGGGCTGGGGGCACAGCACAGGGGGCCAGTATCTGTGGGGCACAGCATGGGGGAGCGGTACCCTGGGGGAGGCAAGGGGCACAGCACGGTGGGTCAGTACCTGGGGGGCACAGCACGGGGGGTGGTAACCTTGGGCGGGGGTGGGGACATAGGGGGTCAGTATGCAGGAGGTCACAGCGTGGGGGCAGTACCCTGGGGCGGGGGCACAGGGGGTCAGTATGCAGGGGGGGGTCAGTTTCCGGGAGGGGCACAGCACGAGGGGGGCACAGCACAGAGGGGGTCAGTATCGGGGGGTACAGTACGGGGGGGCACAACATGGGGGGCGGTACCCTCAGGGGGCGGGAGGGCACAGGGGGTCAGTACCCGGGGGGGCACAGCACGCGGGGCGGTACCTTGGGGTGGGGGCACACAGGGTCAGTATCCGGGGGGTCAGTATCTGGGGGGGCACAGCACAGGGGGGTCAGTTTCCGGGGGGGCACAGCATGGGGGGCGTTACCCTCGGGGGGCGGGAGGGCACAGGGGGTCAGTTTCCGGGGGGGGCACAGCACGGGGGGCGTTACCCTCGGGGGGCGGGAGGGCACAGGGGGTCAGTTTCCGGGGGGGGCACAGCACGGGGGGGGTCAGTATCGGGGGGGCACAGTACGGGGAGGGTCAGTTTCCGGGGGGGGCACAGCACGGGGGGCGTTACCCTCGGGGGGCGGGAGGGCACAGGGGGTCAGTTTCCGGGGGGGGCACTGCACGGGGGGCGGTACCTTGGGGCGGGGGACCGGCAGGCAGGGGTCAGTAACCTGCGGGCACAGCGCGGGGCGGGGCGGGATGTTACAGCACATGATACATTTCCTGTTCCGGGTCAGCGTGTATCACGTCTTAAAGTCCTCTTCCTCCCTCTCCCCCCGCGCGGGGCGGACCGGAAGAGCCCGGAAACTTGGGCCGCTCTAGCCTCCGCCCTCGCTCTATGGTCGGACCGAGACTCCCGGCTTGTCTCTCTATGGTGCGGGGCGGGGTAGAGCGGCTGCTCTCGCGGGGCATTGTGGGACGGGAATGGCGGCGCTCACTGAGCGCTGAGGCGGCTGCGGAACGGGCGTCGAGGAGACGCGCGGCGGGGCTGGGGGGGGCCGAGAGGTGAGAGGCCGCGGGCGGCGGGGGCGGGCGGGCGCTGTGGTCGGTTCTCGGGGCTCCAAGGGCCGCGCCCGCGCCCCGGAGCCCGTCAGCCGCTCGCTCCCGCGCCGGCCTGGCCGGTTAACGGCGGGCCCGTCCTGGGGTCCCTCGGAGCGTCCCCGCGGTGCCAGGAGCCGCTGCCCCCCGGCGCGGGCGGCCCGGGACCAGCCTCGCGGCTCCTGGGAGTCGGCCGGCGCCGGGGGGCTTGCGCTCGGCGCGGCTCGGGGTGTCCCCGGCGGAGCAGCGCTTCTGCCCAGAGGAAGAGGGCGGTGGGCACGGCCGCGCAAAACAAAGCCATAAAACGCGAGCTAGCGCCGGCGCTTATTGGTACTTGCCGCCCTGCCCTGCCAAAGGGGCCCCCCGCAAGGAGCTGCTGGCCTCACCAGAGCAGGGCTGCAGCCTCTCCTGAAACGCTCCCAGTCAAGAGGGAAGGCTCCAGACGGCGTTGTCTTTGTTCGCAGGCAGGGTGATGCGGTGGTATAACGTTGCTTTTCACCTTCAAGTGGCTTTGATGGGTTTCTGTTGCCTTTGGTGGTTTCCATTGGCTGACGTGGGAGGGGGCAGGTGAGGACAGCGGAACCTTGCACTACACCAGTGGGCCGTCACTGCGACGTACGATTTCCTGGTGACCGTCTTTTACTCCAAGACTATAGGGTGAAGTTTTCAATATAGTTACATTGTTCCTTAACTATTACACACAGATGCATGTCTTAGGCTATGTCTACACTGCCACTTATGTCAGCAACATTTATGTTGCTCAGGGGTGTGAATATGCCACCCCGTGGGTGACCTAAATTATGCCAGCATAAGTGCTAGTATGCACAGCTGCTCCCAGGGGGTGGTTTAATTATGTCGACGAGAGACCTGTGCCACTGTAAGGTCTCTAGTGTTAATATAGCCTTGTGATTGAATATCAATAAATGAATACCTTGAAAGCGTGTATTTGGTGTACGCTGTGGGGTTGTAGCTAGCTGTGTTGATCCCGGGATATGGGAGAAACAAGGAGGGTGAGGTAATATCTTTTATTGGACCAAGCTTTTGAGCCACAGAGTGCTTCAGGTCTGGGAAGGTTATTCTGAGGCCTTGTCTACACTGCCACTTTACAGCGCTGCAACTTTCTCGCTCAGGGGTGTGAAACCTCCCCCCCCCCGCCCCGAGCATTGCAAGTTTCAGCACTGTAAAGTGGCAGTGTAGATAGGGCCCTAGTTGGTGTGTCTGTGGGGAGCCTACTGATGATGATGAGTTTCATGAGACGGTGGGTTGTTTGAAGGCAAGAAAAGGGGGCTCCTGGGTTACTGCAAAGGTGTTAACAGGCCACTTCACTTAGAATGGTTTCGTACAATGTGTTAACTACTTACCCTGAGTGTATAGCTAGCATAAGTAGTTAACACATTGTAAGAAACCATTCTAACACCAGGAGCCCCCTTTTCTTGCCTTCAAACAACCCACCATCTCATTAAACTCATCATCATCAGTAGGCTCCCCACAGACACACCAACTAGGGCCCTATCTACACTGCCACTTTACAGCGCTGCAACTTTCTCGTTCAGGGGTGTGAAAAAACACACCCCTGAGTGCTTCAAGTTTCAGCACTGTAAAGTGGCAGTGTAGAGAGTGCACCAGCGCTGGGTTCTACTCCCTTTGTGGAGGTGCTGTGACTACACAGCCACTAGTGAAGACATACCTTCAGGGTGGCATTAGACCCTGCCACAACAACACATGCAAAACCTGCAGACATACCTCCATAGCTACTACGATCAGCACTACTCACAACACGCCTTCCTAGAGCCATGGTCCTACACATGCTTATTGCAACATTTGGGGTACCTCATCCATGTGTGTGAAGCAAGGCAATCACTATGCTCTCGAATGAACTCTCAGAAAAATAACAGACAAAACCAGCATACCAATCATGGGAGAACACTTTTCACAAAACAGTCACTCCATATCTTATCACTCAGTCCTCATCCTCAAAGGAAACCTGCACACCTCCTTCAAAAGACAAGCCTGGGGCTTAAATTCATAACTGCATGACACCAAAAATTAGGGTCTTGATAAAGATCCTGGATTTGTGGCGTATTACAACAGTCTGTAACCCGCTAACACCCCCCCTTTTTTTTTTGGTCCTATTACTGCAAAGGTGTTAATGGGTTACTTCACCTTGAATGGTCTTTTGTCATGTGTTAACTACTTATCTTAAACAATCTGTGACACTCTGAGTACCTTTCCCAGACATGAAGAAGAGCTCTGTGGCTAGAAAGCTTGTCTCTCTCACCAACAGAAGTTGGTCCAATAAGATTTTGCCTCACCCACTCGTCTCTGTATTAGGTATAGTGAGTTTGTTAGGTCTGAAACAGGAGTTGCTTGTAAAGAACAGTGAAGCCTTTGCATGTTTGCATCAATGGGCTGCTGTATCACAGGGGCCTGAGGGTCCCTAAGGGTGTAACTTGTACCCAGGAGAGCCCAGTCTGGGAGTGAGGTGGGGGGCCTGGGCTGAGCTTGTGGGCTCAAGACACGGACCCAATAGCTTGGGCTGGGCAGAGCAGCAAGGCTAGGGTGGCGGGCAGTGAGTGGGTCCAGCTGGGCACCAGGAACCTCTTGCTCACTGGAGCCAGGCTGGTCTGTGGGGCGATTTATGCTGCATCTGGGGTAAGGGCTGGCAGAGGTTTTGAACGGAGCATGCCAAATGGGCACTGCTCTTTATCCCTCACAATACAAGAGCGAGGCATGTTCAGTGACATTGCACATTTAAAACTGATAAAAAGGGAAATATGCTTTAGCCTATGTATAATTAGCTTCTGGAACCCATGGCCACAAGATATCACCGATGCCAGTATTTTGGTAGCGTTTAATAAAGGACTGGGCATCTGTATCATGAATGAGAATATCCAGTTTTGCATTAGGATGAAAAGAGAATCATAGAATATCAGGGTTGGAAGGGACCTCAGGGAAGGTCATGCCTGACTAATCTAATCGCCTTTTATGATGAGATTACTGGTTCTGTGGATGAAGGGAAAGCAGTGGATGTATTGTTTCTTGACTTTAGCAAAGCTTTTGACACGGTCTCCCACAGTATTCTTGTCAGCAAGTTAAGGAAGTATGGGCTGGATGAATGCACTATAAGGTGGGTAGAAAGCTGGCTAGATTGTCGGGCTCAACGGGTAGTGATCAATGGCTCCATGTCTAGTTGGCAGCTGGTATCAAGTGGAGTGCCCCAAGGGTCGGTCCTGGGGCTGGTTTTGTTCAATATCTTCATAAATGATCTGGAGGATGGTGTGGATTGCACTCTCAGCAAATTTGTGGATGATACTAAACTGGGAGGAGTGGTAGATACGCTGGAGGGGAGGGATAGGATACAGAAGGACC